TTATATGGCATTTGCTAGATAAGATTTAATATTGAATCAATTGATATTACATATTAATATATTACATATCAATTCGTTCAATATTAAAGAAAAACATGTATATGTATAACCGTGCGATTAAAAAGGCTACGTACAATAATATTCGTAAAGTTTGCCACGAGTTCATAGTGCATCTATAAATAATTTAATCCTTTATTCATATTAAAATCAAAATCTTGGCAGCACTGTATTTTCCACAAGTTTGACCTAATCAGTCAATCCTCTCAGTTTATATTACTTAACTACCAATACTTCTTAAAAGAGATTCCAACCAACAGCTAAAGGATCAGTTTCCAGATAGACTAAATAGATTAAGCGTGTAAATGATAAAGAATAATAAATTTAGTACGTAAAACAACATTTTTATAAGTACAATCATAGAAAATTTCGCGTTGAAGGCGACACATTCGTATCAATCCCATTCTGTGTATTTTTTCTGTACCCCCTAATCTATAAAATTTTGCTAAAATTTTACGTGTGACCGGCGATATTAGTGATACAAAATCAGAGTAAATATTCTGTGTAACAAGGCCAATAATATTCGAATAAGTTACTATTCCAGGGTGTGAAATATAACTTCTTAAGAGAAAGGTACAGATTGGCCAGGGACATCAAGGCTTACTTGAACAAAACAGAAGACACCATAAAAGTTTTCATTCATCAACAACGCATATTTAAAAAAAGTACCCAGTAACCAACTAAATTGTATTACCCTATATTGTAAGCATTCCTTACATTATACATATACATATTTGTAATTACGGGACTTATGTAAATAATTCGTAATTGTAGTCGCTAAAACAAATTTTTTTTAAATATTCGAACGTCAAAAAGAATATCGTTATCTAGAAAATAATCAGTCAATAAACGTACGCGCTTAAAAACGAGATTTCACGTTTCCGGTCCCCAACGTGTTAATCCATTATGTTAAGATGGCCGTATCCAAACTTCTTTTATTGACACAAAATCGAACAGAAAACGAAAATATGAATCAATCCGTGCCCAGAACGAACGCAAGCGACACAACAATCAGCTCAGGCCGCCGCGCTGATGAAAAAGCGTATAGGTCAGTTCGGGTTGTTTGCTCGGTTTTTCATTATGCTTTATTGTCGCGCGAGGGGCGCAGGAAATTAATTAAAGTTAAACAGGACTAACTGCACGGCAAGCAGGTTAACTGCTGGCCATTGTTGGGGAAACGTGATCGTCCAACGAGTGGAACTCGACGGTAACAGGCCCGCGCAATAAACGACCACCGCTGAAAGGAGATCGAAAAGGGATGCGCGGAGGGTCGTTTACCCCCACAGAATTAATTCCTAGAAGGACGCGGCGAAGCTTTTCACTGCCAGCGTAATTATTGTATTTTGGGTCCTTTAAAATGAGAATTCTAGTGTTTTTCGGTATATGGACATATTGTTCGGAAAAATGTGGATATTGAATGCTCGAGTTTGGGGAAAATTTGGAGTGGAAGTTATGGTTAGAATAACTCGAAGTGGGAACACATTTGAAATTATTTTTAATTAATGTATTTTTGAAGCAATGAAATGAGCATTTCAGTGTTTTTCAGTATATGGACATATTGTCCGTAAAATGTGGATACTAAATGTTTCAGTTTTAGAAAAATTTCGATTGAATGTTATTATATAGAGTAACTCAAAGTAAGAACACGTTTGAAATTATTGTTAGGAACCTACTGAATTTTTATACGACAACTACATTATCTTTCACGAAAATGTGAGCAATTTTGAATGGTTAAAATATAAAAGACAATATTTAATTGGAGGTTCCTTGTAATTTAGGTGTGAACACAATTTTTTATATGGAATGTAGTGACTACCCAACAATAAATTTCTCAATATTAGTGTAAAAATTATTCCCACCGAAAGTTGTCATCAGAATGTTATTTTAGAATTATAAAGGTATTAGAAATTTTAACACAAGTTAAATGCAATGAAGCTGTTATTTAATTTTTGTTTACATTCGTTTCAGAAAATGGAATAAACTTTAAAATGTAGCATTATGAGTTATTTAATATAAATACCACGAAATTTGGATTTCTAACCTTTACAAGTACGTTAACGTATTTGGTAAATTTTAATAAAACCAGCAAGTAGTGTCACTCAGTTATGATATTAATAATTAATTGAAAATGAGTGATGATCAGGATTGTCAATTACTACAATTGACTACTTAGCTTTATAAATTCAGTCGACTCTATCCTAAAACTTGTTTAGTATATATATTCAAGTAACTAAATTCTCATTATTTTAAATTATCGTGCTTTTTATCACAATAATAGGTTATTTTCTCGAAAAAGCATTACTAAATTAATTTCACCGCAAAAAATTGAAATAAAGTAGACTAGAAGTTAATTTAAGGTAAAAATTGATAATTTGATGATAACTTTAGAATAAACATTGTACGTAGAAATATATTAGAAACCAATTAGTTAAAAAACACGTGTACATGAACAAATGATTGAAGACGGCGTGGAGTTGAATTTTAAGAATATTGGTAGGCAACTCTGATATAATTGATTAAATGAAAGTGAAAATTTTGCAGTGTTCTTTGCAATAAGGTGTTTGAGAATGTATTTGTAATTAATTTAAAATTTCATATTCGTATGAAATAAAAACCTTAGCACTGAACAAAAACTATACTAATACTGTATGGTTTATTAACTAGCAGTAAAAGACTGCAATATACTGTAAACTGGTCAGATAACAAGAAAATAATAGGCAAGGATAATAAAGTAATCAACCGACATATTAGTTTGAATTAATTTCTATTTCCAATCAATAACAACAATATTTAAATATATATTATAATAGACTAGGCTGTCATTATCCTCCCGTTTCACCCTTTTTTTGGCATGACTACGCGCTAACACACTCATCCATCGGCTTCCAGACGCTCAAACACACGATCACACAACACGCTAATTACTTAATCGGAACACAGACGCGTATTCTTACACATTAACAGCAGAACGATCGAACGAAACAAAAAAGAAAGATACGACGCGCCTACGAGAGAACCTTCAACGATAGAGAAAAATGATTATCTACAACAAACACGTAGAATTCACACTCTTGGATATGGAGCTGCGTTAAAAACCATCGGACATGGAAACCTTAAGGAAAAAAACAAACGAACTAACTTACATCAAATTAATGCAAATCATTACAATAATTTCATACACCGTTCTTTCCTATAATTTGAAAAAACATTTCAAATTCATTATCTTCTTTTTTCAGAAACTTTACCAACTGATTCGAATCTTCCGTGAATTCGAAATGAATTCCTCCACAAAAGTAACTAAAAACAAAAACCCGTCTTGATAATCCTTTCCGTCCAAAAGTTTCCAAAAGCAGCGTCACGCGCAGCGTCCCATCCACAACAGCCTCGAAACTAATGGTAACGCGTGAAATTACCGAGAACCGGAGAACGAAAGCTCTACCGTCAAATAAGAGCCACAAACAGGTCGGCCCCGTGTAACGACCTAGACGCGACACCTTCCACGAGTATCAGGTATAAACTATTCGTATGTACAAGACGTGGGTGGTCCACGGGCTCGCAGGACCTTTCCTAGATTAAAAGAGGGAGAGAAAAAAAAAAAGATCTTTGGGACTATTTACAGGTCACTGGTGAGAGACGCGACGAGAGGGCACACGGGTGTGCCCAGGCTAGGTAACCACCAGAAGGTGTCCCTCGGCCTGCCCTCGCTTATCTGATCCGGAATTCCTAATTTTTCGGGAAAATACGGGGGAGACCAGGGTGGTACACGGACAGGAAACTCGATTTACGTCTCGATAAACGAAAACACCTTGCGGCTTCCTGGGATAGATCATTGTCTGGGCCTGAGAGTGACCAATTATTTTGACGCCTTTGGGAGATACAGAGACGCCTCGTTATTCACGAGACACGGAGGACGCGCGAACGTTTCGGACCCCTACAACTTAAGGGGTTTGCTTCCCTATTTCTCGACGTATCGGCCAGAGATTCTACTCAACCCATTGGAACCTGTACAGTTTTTTAAAACACGAACTGTTTAAACGAATCGATGCTGCGTAATGAGTCAAGAGATTGATGTAATTGACCCTGGGGCTGAAGGGTTTGCTTCTCTTTTTATCGATTTACCGAGATTGTTCTGAACCCTCTGCAGTCAGTTTTGTACCACACGAGCACTCTAAACGAGTTGATGCCATATAATCGGTCGAAAGATTGATGTAATTGACTGTGGAGTTTGTATTCCGATCCCCTATTGAACCTAGAGACTAATTAGCTACTATAGTTCTAATGGATAATGAATATTGAAACAAGAATTGAAAGTGTATTTTGACCTGACCAGAGAAGGTTGAGTTAGAATCGTCTATACTTCCAATGAAATTTGCCCGAAACAGAAAATGTTTAACGCTCCTATAGGTGTGGTCGATTTTCTTTGTAACGATGAACGGTTTGTCCTGAATGCTCGGACAAGTTCGGGTGGACACGAAACGCAATTTTCGAGTAATGTAGCTTCTAACGATTTTACAGATAAATACAAGTACACGGCTATTTACATGTGACGAAAGTGAGGAAGACGCAGACAAGTTTTCCGTCGTTCTTCCTCACGACGTTAATGGGATCGAGCCAAATAACTTAAGCAAAACCATATTTACAATGTGACTATGATACACTTCGAGTCAGCGTGCTTCACTCGTCTCTAGTATCTAGTACAATCGATACCTAATTGTCATTCGTTCAAAGAGGCCTGAATAAACAATCTTCTGAAAAATCTAAAAAGAAGACAAAACTCCTGGTATCGTTTAGAGCTCATGTGTCTACAAAAAAGAAGAAAAATTCTATTGTCAATTAACTGGATCATGAGCAAGATCATCGAATGTCCAAATACGAACGAAGCACGCAGATCTGACACTTCTTAAAACGAATAAAGTCATAATGATCAGAAGAAAAAAAATTATTTAACGTCTCATAATGTCTTCTATACTGAAACCCAATTTAGGAGTGGTGGTGCTGGTTCTCTGAATCGGGATCAGACCGCTCACCCTATCCGCCATCTGCTTGACGGTCGTGGGGGCGGTGATTCTGGGCTCCGTTGTCACCGGTGCCTCGATCCTTAGATCCTGCGGCACGTCTGTGTGCGTGAGAAGGTGCGTCTTCAGGTTGCTCCTCTGATTAAAGCTTCTGGCGCAGACCGGACATTTGTGCGGCGACTCCTCCATATGGAGAATCTTGTGCACGGCCAAAGTCCTGCTCTGGCAGAATCCTTTTCCGCACTCGCTGCATTTAAATGGCTTCTCCTTGCTATGGATGTACCTAGAAAGGAAAAAATGATCGTTACTTTCACTGTTCCCCGTTTCAAAAGCAACGGAAACTTCTTGGACAGATCTGCTTTGTTAATCGACCACAGCCTTAATAAACGAGAATTATAAATGTCAGTTATCGAATTTCAAACTTCGAACGGCATTCGTCGAAAGATTGTTTATCTTGTTAACGACTGACGCATCGGTTGTAAAGAATATTGACCTTTCCGTAAATATCGGTCGACAATGGATTTCAGGAATTGTGACATCGAAGTAACAGTAGAAACTCTTTATCTCGGTTAAAAGATACGTGACAATTTTGCTAAAACACTGGAATGTCTGTTGAGAAATCGAAACACTGTCCTCCTTCGAGATCAATCGAATCGCACAAATTTACACGATTCCCAGAGAAACACTATAGAAACAAGTTCGAGGCTCGCGGGTCGACCAACCGACAGAAACATCCAAACTTTCACGTTCTTCGGCCGAACTCACCGATGATCACGAAGATGATCCTGCCTGCGGAACGCCTTTCCGCAGATGTCGCACGAGTACGGTCGCTCGTCGGTGTGCGTTCTCTCGTGAATCAGGAGATTGTAGCTCTTCGTGAACTGTCTGTTGCAGAACTTGCAGATAAATTGCTTCTTGGGCCTCTGGCCGGGCAGTCTCCTGGTGAGAAACGAGGCCGGGGGCGGCACCGGGAGCGCTGGATGCAGACCCTGATGGCCCTGATGGTGATAAGGATGCGAGGACGACGTCTGCGGGCAACAACCCCTGACGGCTAACAACGCCGCACCACGTAGCCAGTTATCGATAAACGCGGCCTGGTAACCGACGTTTTGTCCTGCGGTTGGCTGTTGTTGCACGAATCTTCCAGCCAGCTGTTGGGTGGACCTGATCCATCTGGACGACGTGATCGGTAGCTGTTGTTGTTGCATCGATCTGTCGAACGTGGGCGGTGTATGAGGGGGTGTCAGCGGCTCCATCTTCGTCTCCATCGGGTATACACAAAACGTGGACAAAGAAGATGGACGATACGCGCCAAGGTAACACACCGTTGCTTCAAAACTCAGAACTGTATCCTCACTGAGAAACGACGTCGAGTCGACTCGCGATCGGCAATGGAAACGGTCGTACGACGACTGTTTACAATGTTCATGTGTCCTAACGGAAAAGGACGACGGCACGGACGAAGGCAGAAGCTCGAGAATTGGTGAAAAAAAAATAAGATGACGTTGCCTCGAGAGTCGGCGCAGTACTAAATGCCAACAGGCAGTCGTCGAGGTTCCAGGGTCGCCGGTTACCTGGCGCCAAGGGGACACGGTGGCTCCTCCTACCGTGCCCTGAACGCTGGATACGCCGGTTGGCGGCTCGACTTCCACAGGGGCGGAGCTTCCGGGTCAGGGTGATCCCTCCGGGCGTCGCGACGCTCATCCACCGACGGACGTCCCTGCACACCCGCGCTTCTAAGCTTCCACCGCCGCGCCCGCGGAAAGGATCCCGCTTACCGGGCTTCGGGCGCCCGGTTTTCGCGCTGCTGGGGACGGCTGGAAATGCCATTTCCACGGGCTAACGAGAGCACCGTCCGTGATGGGGTGGAACGGGCGAGGGAAGGGTTGGCTGGAAGAAATTCTTGCATATTAGCCCCGCTAACCACGGTTGTCATACGAATTAATGAGTGGACTCCATTCACTTGGCGTTTTGTAGTTTAATTTATAGGATTTAGACGGGAATATAAGAACACGAGTATTGTAAGATTATAGTTATCGTTTTAGCTGCTGATACTGTTTTTAGGTTTACAGGCAATTTAAATGTAGGCAAAAATATTTGTTCACATTCCGTAAGCAAATTGGATCGTTTATGTCCGAACTTTAATTTGTTTAGTGTTTTAGGCTTTCGAGAAATCTGAAAAAATTCTGGGATACTTATCAAAGTCTTTACTGCATTATACAATCTTTCGTTGAGTCAAATGTTTAAAACCTTTTTTCAATAAAATATAAATTCGAAGGAAAATGTGGGAAACATTGGGAATTCGGTTGGGTCGTCAAGATCCCATGTTGTCTACGGAATATTAACCGTTGGGTATTTAAATGAAGATAACATGGTAGTAACATTTAAATGTATTTAAAATGGGTATTAAAGGACAATATATGTATTTAACACTATGATACGGATCGTACAAAAATGTGTATTAATTTTAAGAAGATAATTTAGTAATTTTTATCGGTGTTGAAAAAAGTAGGTATTCGTGGAGTAGTGTGAAATTAAATAATGGTCATAATAATTTTAAATTTGTCGTGAATTGTTCAGTATGAAAATCTCGCGTTCGAATTGATCAGAACCACTGAATAGAAATGTCCATGAATAGAACCAATGCGATTAATTTTGTTAATAATGCGAATTGATGACACCCGCTTCATGGTATTTCAAACATGTTTTTGAATTAACGTCATTTTTACGTACGAAAGGTATACATATTACAAGACTGTATTTCCCAATGTGAAGCAGCTTTCCAATGTAACATATGAATAACATAGACTATTTAAATAATAGAATGCTCAGACAGAAGAAGCTTTTGGAAATGAAACATTTTAATAACAAAGGTTCATATAATTGATATTCTATTGCATTTTGAAGGTACGAAAACTTTCGCCAAAGTCCTTTTTGGATAAAAGTGAAGCACCTCCTAGAAACAAATTACAAAAAAAAATAAACTTTACGAAGGAACATATACTACACAAAATAATATGCAAAAATATACTTGAATTTAACATTATATTAAATCTAGTTAGATAGGGTGTAATTAACTTTTCTATAGTTACTTTGAGCGCACGAAGGTTAGTTTTAAATAAAAATATTTAATTTCTTATATGCTTCGACTGTGTTACGACGGTAAATTTGCTTCATAAGGATAAATTATAGTAGCAATTAACATCTTCATTTCTAGATAATCCTGTTTTAATACTTTACATTCGAAAGATTTCACAGGAATATTTGAATGTATTAAGAATCACAATTCCGCTGATGGTATTCAGAAACAGATAATATCTGACATACATATATTATCTAATAGTTTTAATAAGATTAATCCAAAAGCAAAGTGATTGATTATCATTTCTTGAAACATGATTCATTTCTTTCTAACACCACCCACTGGATATTGGTAGCGTAAGATCTTATATCAACTTTTTAATTTTCGGTTCAGTGATCAATCAATCGCTTTACAACTTCACTACCTATCCTTATATTCTCAGAATATGTACTATTTACCATGAATAATGTACTGATTAAACAAATCTGTCTACCGTTTCTTGGTTCATTCCATTCATTTCGAATGACTTGACAATATTAATGATCATTCTTATCAATCTGTATCAATAAGAAGGTAGTTTATTCTGGAAAAATGAGTGTAAGTGAATAAAGTAAGAGAAATTTAATTATTCTCGTATTAAGAAACAAAAATTATTATGTTCTAAAATTAGAAGTACATTTTATAAAAAAGCTCAGTGGTATTGATTCTAAGTGTAGCCATGTAAACACAATTTTAATTAATAATCAAATATTAAAAATTTATTTAATTGTCTCAAATAATCGAACCAGTATCATCAATTGAATATCTTTTGTTGTAACTGTTAGAAATACAAAATTACATAAAAATCAATATACCTCCTCTAACTTATATATAAGATTAATCTATTGATTGAACTCTGACTCGCATTACGTACTTCATTATACCACACACACACAATTTCATCATTCAACATTATAGTACAATTTTCTGTTGTATATAATACGTCAAATGTATTATCTTATAATATTTACATTAAATTACTACAAATATATTACATTCTTTCCCACAAATCCGCCAATAATGAAAATTAACGAAACTCTTTTGAGAGTCAGTTAATTTTCCCATAAAATAATCATTTACTTCTATTATTCCAGGTCTCAAGATTGAACAAAACCGTTACAAAATCTCCCGTACTTTTAATTAAAGATGTACCATTGATTTCTACAAAAGAGATTTACCCCAAGCTGTCGAGGCGTCAATACCTCCATTGAAACAAAGCACAAACGGTAGACGTAATTTATGTCCGACAGACGTCAGTGAAGACAGCCATAAATCAATAAGGACACGGTTGCAAAAAGAGAATCGATTAATCGACAGGGCTTCAAGGAACATCGAACCGCGGCAGCAACACGCTCGGTTTCGAACGGGTATTAATTGGAACGTGCTGCAGTTTTTTCTCGTTTCTTCGACAGCCACGAGCCGCCTTCTTTTCCTCGTCGCTCTTCATAATGCTGACCTTCCAGTCAAGATTGGCCTCCGTAATCTCATTATAAGCTAACGATGTAGCGCAGCATGATATTTTCGAGCCGACCGCTACCGATTCACCGTCAAAAGTGTACGGGGTAACGTTATACTTATGCCACCGAACTTTGTGCATTTATAATGGATTATTGTGAAATATAATATTATATGTACCAATCAATATACCCCATGTTTTCTTAAGCTTAATATTTATTTCTTACGAAATCGAAAGCATATTCTATTTCAATAATATCGGTTCATGGTCTCCAGTAATCTCCAACGTTTGAAAAAATAGAGCATAAAAATCTTTTGAATTTAAACCATGTTAGTAGTTCATTAAGAATAAATTACTTATTTACGCACCTTATAGATTATTTATCAGTATAGGTAATAACAATGTGGGCAACATATATTTACGTAATTTTATATATTTAGAGATTAATTGACAAGAGATACAGAATCTGAAATTCAGAATTTTATTCGAGTGTTAATAGAATATGAATGTTATAAAATTCTTCGACATTTTTATTAGACCGTGTTTCGTACACTTACAATTGTTATAACTGAACTACGGATTTCATGCACTTATAGCGTATATGACTGAAATTACTTTATAAAATATAAACACTGACAAACTTTCTAACACATTTAATGAAATTATCGTCTTATTCTTAATCCTATAAAATCTTTAAGAGATGAAAGGAATCACTGTCTTACCCCTATATTTATAAGCGACTTTAAAAAATTTGATTTTACATAAAAGTTCATACAGTTAATATAACAAATGTAGATTTTTACTCTTGTCGATTTTACTTTGTCAATTGATGTCTAAATGTGTAAAATTACGTAAACATGCGCTGTCTACACTATTAGTAAGTATAGTAATAAAGAATCTACTATATTTTATACAATTTACTACTTCTTTTATAACATATTTTATTTTTATTTTTGAATGATCAAAAGGTTGTATTCTTTAAATAATTATCGTGCCAGTTTCCGAACAATCTCAACCATTTTTGAATAAAAAGGACAGGAAGATGTTTTCACTTGAAATTAAGTTAACAGTTTACTAAAAAATAGTAATTTATTTGGAATATTTTTTGCGACAATAATCATTATTATACTAATTGTCATAAATAAAATTTTATAGACGTTATGGAATGATCTCGAATTTTATTGTTTTTAGCTGTATAATATATATGTACGTACTGTAAAATGAAACAAATATAAATGAATTGTTATATAAACTATTAAGGTGCAATAATAATAAATGGAACAATTAGTTTTATTCTACAGCAAATTATCAATGTATTGTATTTTACAACTTTACAGTTTAGTAAACTAAAGTTATATACATAAGTACTAAATTTAATTTAGAAATAAATAATATATATTACATTCAAGAGATATGAATATCATTCTCGATATTTCTACGTGTCACAGTGTAATTGTATCATTGGTTACAATAATTTACTAAAACGACACTAAATATATACGGTTAAAATATCACGAAAAATTGAAGCAGAGGGGCCATATTTTTCCGCTGAAAAAAACATGTTTTTTTATGAAAGAGAAACTCCATTTTCCAAAATTTAAAATTTTGCATGCATTAAAGTTCAGAAACTTATTTAGCAATTTGCATAACTATCTATAAAATGAAAATATATCGAAATAAAGAGTTGTAATCCACAGAAAAGTAATTAAATGATCATTATTACTAGACTGCGGAAGTTAATAC